GGTGGTTTTAGAACTATCTCATCTTTATGGTTGCTATTATAGATGTGCTTGTTATGTATTTTGCTTTTGTTTCAGCTATATGACCAATTTGTCGAACCAGAACAGTTTGATCCGAGGGATGAGTTGAAACGAAGCAAATCTGCCGTTGAGAGTTATCTACGACGACGGGCCGACTTCGCCTATGTCAGTGCTAATTATTTTTGGAATCAGCAAAACCTACATTGATCACTTGTTGGGTCATTGACGTGTGTGACGGGGCCAGCTGGGTTCACGGACCGTCGGGTCAGTCGTGATATAAGGTTTTAGTCAGACCGAGCAATCATCAGTAACTGATCTTGAGAAGTAAATAGTAGTACTCGTTCCCTGTAATGACAAACCGTGATTTTTGTCCAAAGTTATTCAATGCGTAGACGCAATCCCTTTGTACATTCGAAGGAACCAAATCGCTCCTCGGTGGGTCCTGCTAGTACACGCTTGCCCTTAATGGGAATTCACTGATGGCTGATTAACACATTCACGACGACGCCCCTTTTCCACTTTTCGGTCGCGTGGGACGGACGCGATTTTGTGGGCGCCGCCGCCTCACCACATAACCGCAGATTTTGTTTTGTAAATGAACAAAAACATGAATGTCACAAAATAATTTCTGCAATGTCCAATGCGTAAAGATTATCTAAACATATAACAGTAGGATTTCGATCAGAACGACAAATAGTGGTTACGAAAAGAGAGCATTTATTCACTTTCCCCGTGAAGGAATTTAAAAGCATTTTACACTCGATTACGAGGTTTGCCCACCTATCTGTCCATTCCTAGCGCCTGGCAAGCGATTATTAGGTTGTCTCATAAGTAGTGGCGCATTTTTTCAAACGGAAATTTTTCTTGTGAACCTCTAATGTTTTACAATGTTTCATATACCATTCGATAGGAAATTATCTGCTCTACAAGAAGGTATGTACCCTTTTTTTGATTGTTGCAAATTGTTTGAGTTTTAGGCATGCAAAGTGGGAGCTTCAGACGACGAATTTTCGCCAAACCGACAGCTGACCTAAACTTTATACTTCCCTAGAAGAAATCAATCAATAATGTAACTATAACTTACTCATAACCTCTACTAAACATTCCACATTTAGGTTCCCTAAAAGCTTGTCTCGTTTAATTTTGAGATTTAGTTATTCCAGTGCAACTCGGTGGTTGCCTGTCAACCCATAGGCTTCGTTCAGAGTGGAATTTTCCATTCCGATTCTTAGGTATTGACGCCACTTTATACACCTTTATAAAGTGATTCTTCTGCTCTACTTATTTGCATTACGACCTTGGTTTTGATATCAATCATCGTCGAGTTTTAGCGTAGAAAATGGTGGTATGTCAAGTCGACGAAAAGGAACACTTCCGGCACCTTCTGCTGTTCACCTTCAACCAAGGATCGAGTGCCTACATAAAGCCTCCGGCAGGCATCGAGTGATCACCAGCACCCTCAGGGCAAGTCACCAGACGCATTCGCCACTGGATACTTAACCTCTATCTCAATATTAACGAACAGCTTTTAGGAGTAAACCCTAAATGTGAGGCAATAGTTTAGTAGAGAGTAGTTTATGATTAAGAGTTATAGTTACAAAGATATTAAGTTAATTGATTGTCTTTCTAGAGCTTTAAAGTTAGGTCAGGCTGTCGCTTTGGCGAAAATTCGTCGTCACTGAAGCCTCCCTTTTCTAGCATGCCTTATAACTCTAGAAAGCATTTGCACCATCAAAGAAACGGTACACGACACACTTATTCATATAGAGCCAGTATAAACTTCCTACGACTGCTATATGCAAAGCCATCGTGTTGAGAAAACAAATGAATAGAGGTTCACGAGCAACAGGGAAAGTTCCGCGGTATTGAAAAAAATCCGTGCCGCCACGTAATACTTTTATGAGACAAAACACTACCATCATCAGTTGGCAGCCCATATGGGCTGCGCCATCGCCCCAGGAGCGCATGTTATCGTTCGCAACCCATATCGGCGTGAATGTGTTAAAGGCAAACCCCGGGATTAAACTGGTGCTATTAGCGCTTCGTAGTGATAGCTTAGCTGCGGAACGACCTGAAAGTGGAAGGAAAGCAAGAGAAATCTTTGGAACGCTGAAATTAAGGCCTTAACCTTCAATAAGGTCGGATGTGGTACGATGGCGAGACAGGGCGGTCAAAGAAGACAAAATACGCGAGAGAGCACGTCGTTTGATCTCTACATCAATGCACGCTGATCTCACCACTCTCGCGGTGGGTGGGAAGCGTTGGAACGGGTCGATGGTTGCAGGCCCGTAAGGATTAGCGCCCTAACCGCGCAATTTTTGCGACGAAGCTGGAGTGATCTAGGTAGGTACGGACCTTACAATTTCCCTCGTGGTATCCCTTCCTACTAGTCGGGCTAATCCCGGGGTTTGCCTTTAAAAGCTCAATAATCACAATTTATTTTTGCGAGTACTACTTTCTGTCTAGGTGATAGCGAGATAACAAGCCACGGTGATTGAATGTTCAGATTTTTCGGAAGATATTCCTATTAAAAATTAAGTCTGTGACCAGTGCAGAATTTTTTCTTGACGCCATTGCGAAATCAATGTTGTCCATGGGCGTCACGCGAAGAGGAAAGCAGAGAAATCGTTTTGCATGACCCTTTCAGTAATTTCACATGTTCCGAAGTTCTTGACGGTATGGTCTTTGAAAGAAATTATAATTATGTGCAACTACTACAAAATGGGGCGGAAGTGGTGTAGTGGCAAGTGGCACGCTTACCACGCGAGCGGTCCGGGGATCAAATCCTGGGTCGTGAGTCGCCCGGGCCAACCAAGCCTTCCATCCCTCCGGGGTCGGTTAATTGGTACCAGACTTGTCTGGGAGGATAAAAACACTGACTTGTACATCGGCTGGCCCCCGCAAGTCATTGTATAGGCCACATCGCATTCAAACGCCACTACGAATGTACAAATGGAAGTAGAATGCGTGCCGCATCCCAAAAAGGGATTGATCAACGGCAAATGCTTTATCCTTTTATCCTTTTTACTAACAAAATGTAATAGTAATATTCAGGTGGGGTCCTTATAACAATGTGAGCTTGGGAGTGCGACAGTACAAAGCTATGCAGGGTTATCGGCATCTTCTCACATCTTTCTTTGAGTTTTTGTAATGTTGGTTGTACGGGGTTCCGTTGCAAGGTACGGACAACCAATTGTGAGACAGGGATCGAGGAGTTCCGGGCAGGTTAACAATTCCTCATCTTTCTAGGAGGGAGGGGGTGGAACTCCAAGTAAAACGAAAATTTTATTTATCTCAAATTCTCTCCTTTGCCGACGAGATTTCGTCGTAGTTTCCAAGCAGCAACGGTTGTAGTTCGCGAAGGCTCCTAGATGGGAGAACAGCTGCCCTAGACTTGGGGAACTCCAAGCCAGGCGCCTTTGTTGTCGTCCATAGCGATAGGGCTCTTATAAAGCCTCATACGGAAGAATTTTTCATTTCAAGACTCGATGTTTGCAACTTAACCAAAGATAAGAAGATAAACAAAAAAACAGGCAGAAAGAAGTGATGGGAGAATTTGGAAACTGTCTGTAACTCTTCTTCTATAATTGTCGCACATACGTTAAAAGCAGGGTTCGGGCTAAGATCCCAAAAGCAGCACTCTTCGTGAATGAGGTATCACCGTCCCTAAGCACCAAGTGTGACTCCAAAGGGCACGACACGAGTGCTAACGCCTTGCCTTCACCGCTGCGAACGCCGCCATTTTTAGTCGTTCATCGCATACGCGATGTCTGTGTACTGTCGTACGACGCCCATGAGCACCTCTCCTTGCGGCTTTGTGTCCTTGATTCCTGCTGCGATCGACCTTGAGGAGGCCACAGAATCCATCAATTTCGCTGGCTCCTTTTTGTCCTAAATAATGTAGGAATCTATCTGATGAAGACATTTTTAGCTTCAAATTGTCATTTGCAGAAAGCCAAGGTGTCGTTGGAGGTGCGTGAGGTCGTGAACGGCCGTGCGGGTCACAGCGATGAGGAGGTGAACAGGAAAGCTAAGAATTACATTCAGGATCCAAAACGAAAGACTTCGATTCCGTTTTATGTCTGCCCACGCAAGTTGGCTAATGATCGCGACCGACCATCTACTGTGCACGACCACTCTCTTCGAAGAACCAAAGTGAATGAAACACGGTCAGTTCTGCTCCGTCACCCTTGTTTTTCAATACTTCTATACACTTCTTCTTGCCTCTTGCTGTCAAATTCGAAATCTCCCTCAATACTTCTATACAACTTCTTCTTGCCTCTTCGGCTGTCAAATTCGAAATCCCTCAATCTGAATCCTGAAAAGTGGAGTTCATTTTTCATTAGTATCATTAAGTAAACGATGGGCACAACTGAATACCATTGTTATCCTATTACAGAGACAGTACTGGAAAATAAAATAAAACAAATACTGCTCGCATTGAGAAATAGAGCTAAGCTTAGTTTTCTTCGTCTCGACGCTGACGTTCATCGGACCATAAGGAAGATTCTGCATGAAGGGTCGGCCTTGAGCTAGAACTTGATCTGCGATTTCTTTCATTTCGCTTCGCTCATTTTGCCGAAGAGTACGGCCACAATGTTGAAAAAGCGGTGTTCCCAAACATTGAGATTATTTATTCATTTATGTAGTTTTAGCCCTTCTCAACGAATTTGTTTCCAGGAATTTCACGCTAGCCGCTAACGCCAATTTCTACAGTCTGTCAACATCCTCAATAGCGTCTGCCGTTCATATTCCCACTCCGCTCTATGACAGAAGTAAGTCAAACGACGTGAACTATCTTCCTCTTTTAATTTTTCTTTCTTCCTTTGGTTTTCTTCTGTTTTTCGACGCGAACTACATATGCACAGTCTACATCCTACGATAAGCCGTGCTTGTATTTTACCCTGAGGCGGAAGTAGACAGTAATAGGTGACGTCACGCGTTCGCCCTGGGAATCAAGGATTGCATAGAATCTCGTCTACGACAACCACGAATCCATGTCTCTGAAGTCGTTACACAGAATAAGATTCCTTGATTGGGAGGTCACAAACACCAACGTGTATCGACAAGCTCGCGAAAGATGTCTACGACTTTGCATTCAAATGCCATTATGATTCTGAATAAAATACGAATGCGTAGCGCATCCCAGTAGTGGATTAGTGTTGTTTTGGTTCGTGTCACCTTACTATAAGTTCTCTTAGATCGCTTTATTTCGTACATAAAACACTTACTCAAAAACAATAAGCAAGTGGCACCGAGAGAAGACCATTTCAGATCCCGAACTTCTGCGAAAGATCGAATGGTCACAAATTGATGAAGTTTATCGGACCCATCGTGAAGAGACGCGAGATCTGGCCTTTCAGCTGTTCTGCTCCGAAAGTGGTTACATGCGCTTCTTTCCAGGTACGATCCCTGCCAGCAATCCATTGAGTCTTTGCCTATTGTCTGGAAATGATTTTTAGCTGCTTCTTGGTTCTGGGATAACCACATTGAACATCTTGACCTGTTTGATTGTCGCAACACTCAATGGTTAGTGGACCAGTCTGATGCATCTCTTTCGCGTTTTTGAACCAGCAGGCGCAATGTAGCTTTGCAGGTACATCAACGCGGCCACAAATTCGAAGAATGTGATCATCATGTTGGATATGTCTGGTTCAATGCTGGGACAACGCTACGAAATTGCCAAGCAAACCACAGAAGCCATCCTTGAAACACTCAGTCATAATGACTACTTCAACATAATGCCGGTGAGTCAGCTCTTAGCTGGGCATAGTGCATCCTGTCGCGGCGGTTATCGAGCTCTCGGGCAGCTCTCGGGTGATTCGAACCTTCTTTTTGTAATTCCCACCATTTTCAATAAAATTCATTCGATTTCTGAGATTGGTTCGGTTATTAAGATGGCGACGTTCAAAAGAAGACTCAAAAGTGTTTAAAAAAAGAAACAGACCACATCTTCCATGATTCATTGAGATCGACTGATGCGACTTGCCCGTTGAGATCACATTTTTGTAAAGTTCAAGTGGCTTTCAGTCGTGTACTAACAGCTTTGATGGAGTGAATCACCAGCAGGGCATTATTCTGGCACCTTACTCGATCCTAAATGAAGCTAGAGCTAGCCGTCTGTGTGCATTGGTGTCTCACGCGCTGGTGACAGCGTTGTCACATTCGAGCCTGTCTGAGTAGAGCTTTATCGTCCGTTTTCCCCCTATTGTCACTCGCGTTACATGCCACTTGCCCGTCACCTTAAGTGGGTATACCTAAGATTGGGCGTGCGCTGAATCCCTTACACTACATATAAAATCATGAAAGGATAAAGGATAAAGCATTTGCCGTTGATCAATCCCTTTTTGGGATGCGGCACGCATTCTACTTCCATTCGTAGTGGCGTTTGAATGCGATGTGGCCTATACAATGACTTGCGGGGGCCAGCCGATGTACAAGTCAGTGTTTTTATCCTCCCAGACAAGTCTGGTACCAATTAACCGACCCCGGAGGGATGGAAGGCTTGGTTGGCCCGGGCGACTCACGACCCAGGATTTGATCCCCGGACCGCTCGCGTGGTAAGCGCGCCACTTGCCACTACACCACTTCCGCCCTCAAATCATAATTGTTACAAATAAGAAGCGGGATCTTCTAGGGCACCCCGATTGGTAGGTAAGAACTCTAGTTGCCTAACAGCAAACCTCATGCGGTTCGAGAAATTCCGGTAACAGCATGGAGCAGGAGAGGCCGTGCTTCACTAAAAGAATAGCTGCAACTCCCACTACTATCTCCTCGGTGTGATGTCAAAACGTGCATCAGGAGACTTCTGATTCATTTCGCTGAAGTCGCCTCGCGCTTTTCAAATTTGACGGCGTAGGCTAAATTAAAATTGTTGAGATCAAAAGCAGGTCCATAGAATTGCTACAGTACAGCAGGCGGTAAATTTGAGAGCAAACGTAAGCTGTTTAAGTTCTCTAACGTTCAGGCTTTAACCTAACCCCATTCTGATCCTTGAAATTCCTAGGCTTGGAACCATAAAGCTTAAGCGAGTCCAACCTCAGCGGTTACATCACATTGATTGAAAACTTTGGTTCAAGGCACTCATAACCTGCACTTATATACACTGCGACGCATAATTATAGTTCCACCTACAATTTCAGTACCCGGCTGGATATCATTTTCTCACGATACGGCGCTTATCTCAGTCGGATAGTAATCAGGGTTCCTCCCAGTCATATCCTGTAGCATCCTTGAGAAATTTGTTCGTTATGAAGTCACCCCGACAAATTCCAGCGGAGCTGACACTTTGACAATTCCTGCGTCTCTTTTGCTAGGATTTCCCTTTTACGGAAGTGTGACAGCGGTTTTGCCTTTGCTATAAGCTAAGGAACTTGAATGGATAATAATTCCAAATTTTGATTGGGTAAAAGCAAAATGCAGCGGAGAAGCTAAAGCGGATATTTTCGAAAAAATAAGGATAAAAAATTGTTGCTTTCTCAAACTGGATTTCCGTGTTAATATTCAGATTCGCGTTTATATGTGTCACAATTTATCTGTAGAGCCTTTTAAAATTATCGTCGCAGTGTATTATTGCTATACGATCCATCTTACCTATATCGACCTTGAAAACCTGGGCAAATGTTCTTCACCACTCCACATCACTCAGAACACGAATTGCTCTTACTTCATTTTACTGGCTTCATTGATCAGTGTTGCTTCAAATGAATTGGACCTTCTTATTAAAAGCGAGAGATTACGATAGGATTCTGTTGTGCTCATAGTGGAAGTGAAGATGCTGAATAATGCCCTAGTAGCGAAAAAAGCAAAGAAATCCGTCAAAAACGCGCAAAATGGGACCACTTCCTCTGCCCGTTGACCTCCGATAATGGACGAGTTGGCAACCAACTAAGAGGTCGTCGGCACTCGTTAAACCATAGCTGCCATCATACCACCAGAGATCATACCTTGATTGATATAGCATTCCATGAGAAAAAAATTGGATACGCGCTCGAAGTGGCATACCTTATCAGAATGATAATCGAACAGCGATCTGCTGAGGGGCGGAGCACAGGCGGAGGCGGAGCTCAGAAAGGATTGGCAGCCCCAGGGCGCTGCAACGAGCGCACCTTTAGTCACAAAAAGGCCACATCTCGATTCCTTTGGGCTCTAGCTACTGCTTGAAGTGCTGCTCGTTCTTCCATGCTGCACAGAAATTTTATCGTAATTTCTCGCTTTAACGTAAACAGGCTGACATCATTTTCAACGCAGCAAGGTAATAGGAATTGCTTACTTGAGGTCTTTGATAATTCATGCTCTTCCAGTTCTCAAAGACGTCGTACTTCCTTGATGACTGCAATGGAAAGAACGGTCTTCTACAGGCGACGATGCGGAATAAGAAGGTTTCTATTAGCTTTGATTTAACATACTTTCGAACAATTTTCTACTTCTACTGAGATGTGTATTACTGAGCGAGAGCGAGCTAATTATGTAGAAAGGCATAAAGTGGCAGCATGTCTTCCTCCAACAATTGAAATAATCCTGCTGGAGGCGATCACTCCTCTCAGTACAAGATAGGTCCAAATTGGGCCTGTACCCAAGACTCTGGCAGCAATGTTTCGCTTGACGTTTCTGGGTCGGCTCCTTTCGAGTCTGAAGGAGGGAGAACATCCAATGAACTACTATCCAAACTTTATTCTAAGCAGCAGAAATGGTTCACCCTGATTCTTAATTGTACAGTGATAAGATCGATAACTGTTAGGAGTAACTTCTGGAAGTTGCGATTACTTTGTTCCAGCTCCTTCGCAACAAAATGAACAACGTCTCCAGTGAAGGGAAAGCTGAGTACGAAAAGGCGCTACCACACGCTTTCACCACTCTGCTGAATGTGAGTACGACCACTTTCCCTGGTTTCATCATTGAACATAGAAAGTTTAGAAGAATTTGTACTGACCTCCAAATGGCATCAAATACTTATTACAGTTACAGAACTTATTTGTGCAATCGTCCACAACCTATGTGTCTTGTCTCGCTGACCATGCGTCTCTGCGGCTTACGTGTCGCTGAATTTGTTTGGCTAGACGGCTAGAATCAGAGAAAGAGAGCTGTCGCTTTTTGTGCATCAGTTGCTGCTAACCTTACGTTGCTTGTAGTGCTTTATCAGTGACAGGCTGAAAGCTTTTGTCACGTCTGTTTCAGCTGCCCACTTGTTCTTTTTGTTGCTTTCGCCGACACAGCGCAGCCTCCGCGACGCAATCGGCTCGCGAGCGTGACGTGCGCAACTCGGCGCAAGTGTTGCGTCGCGGCTGCTGCGTTACGTGTCACTGCTTGTCTTAGCTGCCTGGCCACTACGAGCTGCACACTCGTGAAGAGATGGCGCTGATGGAGCCGAACGCTACCGAGGAACGGATCCACGTCGTATTCCCCGAACACGTGCTTTCCGCCGATCCAGAATATATCGAGGCAGTAAGTGGTGACAGTGACAAGCTAGTTGCATGGCAGTTCGTCCGCACTAGCATGAAAATCCTGAACGAATTTGAGACCTCGTGCATGAATCACCCAAGACGAAGCCTAATCCCAGTTTCAAGCGAATATTGCACTTTTCGGGTAGGATAGAATTGGTGGTCATAGCTGCAAACACTACACGAGAAGATCGTTCGGAATCAATTTTCTTCAACTTTTTTCGGAGTTGATCTTTGGTATCGGTGGCTTCTCTTGTTTCAATATCACCTTCCTTATCATATCTGCAACCTTCTATGTTAAACAGCGATGCTCGTAGTGTGGCACAGGGATGGATAGTGAGGATAATAATCGCTGATTAATGGTTACGGATGAACCTGTCGTGGATGATGGGCTAGTGTTTTTGGAAGCCGCTGTTCGAGAATGACTCGCACGGGTGGCGTTAGTGCGGCCACCTAAAACGTGCTCACTCTCAATAATTTTAAGAATTCCTGGTTATTCAGTTCACTGATGGTCCAAAATCAGCCATTCTTTTTCGGAGTTACTCGACATACCCAGAAGTTTCAGACACAGCTAACAGAGAAGGTGGATACAAATGTAAAATAGGCTACGTTGTTCTGAGCTCACAAACGAGGTTAACTCTAGCTCTGGCACTTTTTCATATCTTCATGACCTTACCCTCAGCGGGTCCCAATGCATCCCTCACGACCACCATCACCCTTGAATGAAGGGTCCCCATACGACACCCTTCCTCCCCTCCCCACTCCGCGACCACTACCCTCACCATCATGGCTGTCTCTATAATATTTAATTCTGATGTGCTTCAACCCCGCCCACTTATTTTTCCCGGAAATGATCGTCGAGTGAGGTGGGTGGGAGGGGACCGACAATGAGGGGTCTGAGGCGGGAGTGGGAGGGAAGGGTGAAAAAATCCGGAGAGCAACCGCCCCCTATTCCGCAACCACGACCCCCTCCCTTCAACTTTCATTTGAATCTTGCCCCTTCGTACTCTTTGAACTTTCGCTAACTCTAAAAACGACCCCGCCTCTTTGATCTAAGTTTCCAGAATAGTGATATCTAAAATTCGCAACAAACTTGAGATCTTCAATGAAATAGTAATATTATTACAAAAATAGGCTGAAAGCTGAATGTCCGATATCCTGCATTTTGATTTCCGCATTTTTCTAAAGCTGCTCGCAAGTATTGCCTGCTCCATGGCGTGTGGATGTCGACAATCCACTGCGTAAACCACCGCATGGTTGCAGTGGGGCTCTGTGACTTTCTGACTTACTGCCATTTTACTGAAGCCTCCCACCCATCTGTTCCTTCCCTCTTTTTGCGTGCTTACATAGGCCCATCTCCTTTCTCCCCCTACCTGATGCTTCATTTTCTTTGCATGTACCAATTTCGCATGCACAGTTGTGTTTTGTCGTTGTGTCCTCGTGTCGCGCTGTTGTGTCTATCCTATCTATCGTCATCACTTTCTTCGAAGCACTGGAATGGAGTGTTCTCCGCCGAACGCAGAAACTGAAATAAATTGCCGAGGCTGATCTTTTCCAGATCAGCTCACATCATGGTCGACCGGATCAGGGGTGCGAGAACGTCATCATGCTCATCACCGACGGAGCCCCCAATGTCTATAAAGAGATCTTCGATCTTTATAACAAAGACAAAAAGGTAAAGGCAGAGAGAGAGTTTGCTCGTGATCTTTAAGAAAAAGTTAGAATTTGTAGAGGTTTTTCGTGTCTCCCGATATTTAAAGCCAAAAACAAACAAATAATAGGATTTAATATCTTCCTTACGGTACAAAGCTTCTGACAAACTTCAAACCCATTCGAACATCATAGAGATAGAGACAGTGTAATGGGAAGCAGTATCTTCCACTGCTGACCTGAAATTCTCCTAAATGAAAACTGATTAAATTTTCCGACAATGACCAATCATCAAGTTTGATGGCCGATTTTACGGTGGAGTGTCAGCCGATTGGAAATTAAGTTAGGGATGGTCAGTGATGCACGAAGAGAGGAAAAAACGAGAAAAATGGCCCGAAAATTGGGATCCCTTCCTTGCCCGTTGATTTGCGCATTGATACGACTCTTGTCGCTGCTGCCCTCTTCAACATTAACGCTCTTTTTCCTGAACGGCCAGAGACTCAGACACGAGACGACGCCGGTGGCGCACCGGGCCAATATCGCACCGATCGTCCATGCTAGATCTCAGGGACATATGCTTCTATGCGTATACCCCTGCCATAAATAAATAAGTAAGAAGCTATCGCGCAAATGCTCACGTTTTGTAGTTTTTTAAACACTGATACTCGAACTCCACTTTTAAAAACCAGAAGAATTGCCTCAGAAGCACATCTTCGGCAATTATCGACGTTTTCCAAAGTTCAGGTGCGGTTCTTCTCATTTTTGATCGGCGAGGAAGCCATCGACTTTGAGCAAGTCAAGACCATGGCCTGCACCAATCGGGGCTACATGGTACACGTACAGAACATGGCTGATGTCGAGGATAAAGTGCAGGTATAATTTGTCTACTCTCATTTTCAAACGTGCTCACTTTTTGAACTGGCGAATTTGGTCCCTCCTTGCAGTAGAGACGGGAACGCAATAATAAAGAATTAAGGAATGAAGCGATATTGCGTAGGTGATAACGAACGTAGGGAAAAGTTTGTAGCGTTGATCATTCCCTTTTTGGGATGCTCTACGCTAGTTCGGAATCGTAGTGGAACTGTTCAGGAGACAGTTTCTATAGCCTTATTTGGAATTCATTGCAAGCACATTGTCATTACTCTCCATGCCCTTTCGGGGCGGGTTCCCTGCACGAGCTAAAAATCTTGTCTCTTCTGTGCCAAAACAATTTTTACCACTTTTCCAAAGTAACGACAGGTAAATTCGGCCATTTGTCTTCTTCCACATCATTAGGCTGGAAAGAAACGGCCTACACAATAATGATGTGTAGCTGTGATTCATTCGGCTTTCTTAATAACGGCAGGGGCGTCTAGAAGGCCCCCAATGATTAGAGCTTTGATCAAATTAGGTCTGCATACTTCTTCACAAGAAGGCTGGGTTATGAACGTATGTACGTATGAACTTCCACCCCACACGGACTCTCACCCTACCGCGTAAACACACACGTACATATAACCTTGCAGCGTCGTAAAAATCAACACCACTCGTACTTTTTGACTTTAAGCTGTGGTATTCATACAATGAAAGCTGAGTTAGGGTGAAATGGTGTGGTGCCGCTCCCGCCTTAAAATCAACA